ATTCACCAGAGCGCAGCTCCAGGATGAGGAGCCATGCACCAGGGCACAGCTCCAGCAGCTCCGGGATGAGGAGCCATTCACCAGAGCGCAGCTCCGGGATGAGGAGCCATGCACCAGAGCGCAGCTCCGGGATGAGGAGCCATGCACCAGAGCGCAGTTCCAGCAGCTCCGGGATATGGAGCCATGTAGCAGAGCGCAGTTCTAGCAGCCTCAGGATGAAGGGCCATGCACCAGATCACAGCTCCAGCAGCTCCGGGATGAGGAGCCACGGACCAGGGCAGAGCTCCAGGACGAGGAGCCACTCACCAGAGCGCAGCCCCAGCAGCTCCTCAGGGGACGACTCCTGGCGCAGCTCGAGCCGTCTCACTTAGGGCTCCTCTGAGGAACCTCCTAAGGATTTTGGAGCACGAGACGTGACGGGGGCCGAGGCCRCAGCCAGCGCTGCATCCCAGCACCAGGGCCCTGGCGCCCGCCTCTCCTGAGGGCAGCACTTGGATAGTGCAGGGAAACAGGGAGCGCTGCAAGGCCAAAGGATATTGGGGCCAACAAAGCGCATCCGAGGATCCGTAAGCGACACCGGTTTCCACTGAACGCTGCTTTCCGAGGCAGAACCAGAACAAAAGCACAACGAGGGTGTAGTGTACCAAGTGTATATTTCAATTTACTGTATGCAGTCTAACAACAAATTTGGTCATAATTTACCAGATATACATAAATGATTTAAGTAGTAAAAGAAGATTCAGTTCCAAGAGAATAAGTTCATATCTTGAGGAGAAAAAAAAATGAAAACAAAACCAAAACAAAAGGAAAATACATTAAGAATGTTGAGCCAGGTCCAGTTTCTAAGCATTAAGTGAGCAGTATTCTAATAAAGCAGATTTAGGTGAATTTCAGATATATATATATTTTTATATATATAGACAGATCTACCAATTGTAAACTATGGTTTTAAAGGGGATAAATGGGATGGAAAAATCTTTATGCTATACTTACATATTCACAAAGCAGAACATTACTTTAACGTTTAAAATACTTTTCATTCATATCATCTTTGCCCAACTAATTTCTACTTTGGACCCCACCAGAATTACACATTGAACAATGAGAATAAGATGTAGTCTTCAGTGTAAGGAGGAAAAAAAAATAAAATAATAATAAAATAAAGCCAACCCCCTGCCCTCCCAACCCCCCTGAAAACAAAAGTAAAACCAAACCCTCTGTCAGGTTTGCAGTGATGTGGGAACGGCCAATGAAACAAATGGATAAAAGAAGCTATTTTGACCTGCCCGATAATTTTTCACCTGCTCTCGGCTGCAATCACCAACCACAGGATCCCAGCGGGGCGCTGCTGTCCTGCTGATGCAGGGGAAGCTGCTCTTCCCTCTCCCCAAACCCCTACCGAACCCCTACCTCGGTCAGGCGCAGCCCCCGTAGGACCCTGCCCATCAAAGCACAGCTCAAAGCTACCCGCACTACCAGCATAATTTAGTTACCTGATATAACAYAGGAAAAAAAAAMCCCAAAATCGCTGATTTGAGAATTAAAACAAAGCTGAAACACACGGTGAGCATTAACTGTTTTAACCCAGTGCTGCCACCCTGGCCTAGCCGCGCGTCCTCTCGTGGCGCCGCCTCCTGCCAAGGCCCCTCGGATCTGCTGCCTTGGGCCCGGCGAGCGGAGGGGCTGGGGACACGGGCGTCACGGCCGCCCCTCAGGGGTACAACACAGTGGCCTTAGCGGGGGAAAAACACTCTGCATGGCTACARAAAGTCAGGTTTCCAGAGGGGCTGAAATTCGAAATGAAGAGCACGGGGAGCACTGTCACTCCGGGGAGCAGACAGCTCCAAGTACTCCTTTGCTTTGGGTTTTTGATTTTTTAAAAAAGTTTCAGCAAATTAAGTCAACGAGTATATTCAACACTAGCAATGACCCATTAAATAGGAAAGAATAAAAAAATATCTTGGGTTCATTTTAATGATGAGCGATGGGCGCAAGGGCCTAGTGTCCAACGCAGGTTGCGTAAATCAGCCAAAAAAGCAGACAAGAAAGAAATGACCAACCGACAAGTTGTTTAATATGACACTGTCTCCACTCCTTGCGTTTCCTTCATCCTGCTTCTCCTGGGGCCGAGGCGGGCGCCAGGGAGGTGCCTGCCAAGGGAGGGGAAGCTCTGGCAGCCCTTGGTGCTCCTCAGCACGGCTGTCTCTCCCGAGCAAGCGGCAGGATAAGGGGAAGAAGTCCCCAGGAACGAGGGCAGTGGCCTGGCCCGTGGCCTGTAGTTCCTGGGGACTTCTTCTGCAAGAGGGGGGACTTCTTCATTCCTGGGGACTTCTTCTGCAAGATGCTTTTGGAACCGGTTCAACAACAACAACAACAACCACCTGCTTCCAAACTCCAAGCCGGGACAAAAGAGACCCTCAGTTAATGCCGCTACCGACTTGCTCCGCTGCTTCCCACCCACGCCACGCGCCGGCTCGGAGCCGCCACTGAAACCCCCAAATTTCAGCCTGGTGCTGGTAACCTCCATGATGCGTCTGTCAGGGATTGGCTTCCACCTGYCAGGGGAAGGGAGAGGTCAGGTTTGCAGGGCCGGCACGCGCTTGCGGAGGCGAGAGCCGCCAGCCCCCTCGGCTCCCCCGGGGCGCTGAGAAGCCGCGGGGCGGCCGGCGAAGGCGCCGGTGCTGCCACACCAAGCTGCAGTTTTCTCCATTCATGTTAACAGCTACATGAATGCGTAACATAATAAGTACAGTTACTACTATGTCTGAATAGGACCCAAATAGCTATATCCTATAAATAATAAAAAATACATTTTTCTTTTGATAACTGACTGTAGATGTGAGGACTCTGTATAATTCAACCCAATGGTTGGATGCTGTACAGTCCTGTGCAAATATCATAAAAAAATTAATAATCCTTTTTTTTTGCTATAAGGCTTTGACCCTAMATTATTTCACAGCAACATAACTACCCTCCAGCCTGTACCATGTTTTGCAAGCCTTCAGTCCCAAGATCCGAGCAGTCCATCCGCACAGTGTCCCCGGGCAGCGCCGCCCTCAGTCGTCCAAAGGCAGACAGACCTCCCCGGACTCGTCCCACCGGGACTGCTCGTTCTGCTCCTCCACGTCGTCGCCAAGCTCTTCGTCACCTTCGCCCACCTCGTTCTCCTCGTATTCCTCATCCCGAGGGAAATCTGTGTCCTGCACCTGGTCTACTCCCTCCTGCCCTCCGGGCTGGGATTTATCTGCACAGTCTACGCAAACTCCGTAGCGTCGTGATCCGTGTCTTATCCCCACGCTGGCCGCGAGCATGAAGATCTTCTTGCACACCATGCATTTATACTTTTTATCCTTTTTATGCACCTAGGGAAGAGAAACATGAACAGTGGGAGTCGTGGGCCTCAGACTGCATCTGCATACAGCGAGAACACAGAATCACACAGAATCACA